TCTCCCTCTCCCTCTCCCTCTCCCTTTCTTCCTTTCTGTCTCTTCCTCGACTTTTTGTGCCCTCTACTTTGCAACTGACGTGCGCGGTGCGCGTCCTTCCCTGCCATTTCTTTTTCGATCCGTCGTCCAGAAAACAGAACCTTTATGCAACCTCCCATAGCATGTGAGTCCTGAAGTCTGGATATTTGGCAGTTCCCAGAATCCGTCGAATCAAAACATTGCTTCTGAGTTCCTTTGAGCATCTGGTCCAGGCAGGTGGCCAAGCCGTGGAGAAGGTCGAACAGCTTCTGGATGATGCCGATTGGCGCGCGCAATGTGAGGCAAGGGAAAATCAGAGCTTCAGAGCCCCCCCACAAAACGGCTCAGCCAGGGCCGGACGTGCATCGGTGCGCCAGCTGCAGATGCTGTGAAGCATTGTGAAGTCATACTGCGATGCGCTGACATGGCAGTTGCTTTTCTGCCGCACATCTACGACGACGGTCCCGTACACAAGAAGCTGTCAAGCTTTTGACTGAGTTTTCAAAGCAGAGTGTCCAAATGCAAAGCCTCAGGTGCTGCAGGGCGCCGGGAGAAGATCCAGGCGAGGCTCCCAGGCTCCTGGTGCCTTGCAGAATTGCTTCGGAGAATTGCCTTGCAAAATGCTTATGCGTTATTTAGGTCCTGGACCAGGTGATGAGGGAAACCAAAAAGGACTCTGGGATCAACTTGACCTGTCCAGTGCGTCAAGCTATCTGTCAAGCTGCTGTCTGAGGACGGGAAGTCGGTAGGCTTTCTGTGGAGCCAAGGTGGTGATCAATTTGAGATGGAGGAGGCTCGGTTCAGAGTGTGCTAAGCCTGCTAAGCCAAGTCAAATTGTCAAAGTGCTGCAAGTGCAACGTGCAGAGGTCTTAGGCCTGCAGTTCGGCTTTCCGGCTGTCCCTGTCTCAATTGCAGAATATCGCAGAATCATGTCCTTTGAGAGCAGAGAGATCAGGTCATCGCGGTTAATTTTGGCAAGGTGCAAAGGGTTTCACGGCTGAGTGATCTGCATTTAGGGAGTTTAGGGTGCTGCGTGACCAGGGTCGCTTTGGTGTGCCTTGGTTGCATGTTAGAGAACTTGAGGAAGCCTTGCAACCTTTGTGCTTCTTTAAGGTCCACAGAGGCACCTTTGACAAGGACTCCATCTCCCAGTTTCTTACTTCGCTCTCCCGTGGCGGTACTCCGCTGGGGCCCAGTGTGAACCCGTCCCAAGTCACCAAGCTTCGAGTATATTTGAGGTTGGCGCCTTGGCCAGCCCCGAACCTCAGCAAAGAAGCCGTTCAGTTTCACCACAAGTCACCACAAGGCAGCACAAGGCAGAAAAATGCGCAAAGCTCAGGCCAGCGCTAAAGCCGGCAAGGCTGAGGCTTGGGATGGCAAGGTGCCTTTGCAGCCTTTGCAGTATTCAGATTTTTGCTTCAGGGTTCTCGGGCAGATAGCGTGCCAGGATGCCGTGCCGCCTTCGGAAGATCTCTGAAGCGCCTTGCTTCAAATCTGCTTCAAATTTGGAGCAAACAAAGACCAACTATTCACCAGGCAAAGAAAGGCCACTGCGAAGGTGAGTTTGCTCTAACCTGTGCTTAACATAATGATCCTAGCCTTTGGCTCAAGCTGGGCGCAGCTGGGCGCATCCGGGCGCGCAAAACGCAAAGCAGTGAAGGCCCAGATCCTGTTTTGAGATTGAGCTGTATAAGTCTTTTTTGATACGTGCAGGGGGGCGTGGAGCGCGCAGGACGTCAATCGGAACACTCCATGTATGTGGAAAAGCACGGAAAACTTCGTAGCCATCATGCTTGAAGGAGCTCATGCTGTATTTGCAGCAAGTGCTCAATGACATCAAGAAGGTCCGCCATTTCTCTCCTTTCCATGCTATCGCAGTAGGATTGTGGGAATGGAAGATTGGATAACATTGGTGGGGAGGAGATGTTTTACCTTTCAAGCTGCCTGGGCCGCGCAGGGCGCATGCCATTTGTCAAAAGGCTGAGTCTAAACTGTTGGGTGGTAAGTTGAAGCTGCCTTTGCTACAGCAGGCACAGGCTATATAAGCCTCTCAACTCTCTCCACTGATCTCCACTGTGTCCACTGCCGTTTGATCTGCGCCCATGTGGCCTTTCATGGCGATTGCAATGCTCACGCTCGGTCAAACTTATGTCAAGAAAGGATATGCTAGCTTACGCTAGCTTACAAGATGGTTTTTGGAGCTGAAGGTTGCAGTGGCAAGCGTGCTGCATGAACTTGATGGCCTCGTGAACCACTGGATCTAAGTTCTTTGGGATATCATAGATTCGCTGCAGCTCAAGTTTTTCTATGAAGGTTCGCTGTGGAAGCGCATTTTCTGACCAGTTGTTTTCAAGGTTGTGCCAGCCACACCAGCCTGCCCTCGCATATAGCGTTCAGCAGGAGTCCAATCCGCCCAAGTCACTGAGAGCTGAGCATCTGTTCAAGCTGAATGAGGCGCAGAGTGCAGAGCTTCAATTTGCACGTGGCTTGTGTGGTTGACAGGCCGTCTTCAACTTGTCTGAAGAGGACGCTGTGGATGGCCCACTAGCCGTAAAGTTATTTCAGGCAGGGGCATAGTATGAGATAGCGAGCATGGACGGTTCCGTGATCTTGCAGGCAGTTGAGCGGATCCAAACAGCGTACACTACGGGCAAGCGACCTCCTCGGATTCTATTGAGCGTTTATGACTGGCATTAGTTCATGCAACAGGTATGACAACCAGGACTCAAATTTCTTTTACGACTACCTGGCCTTATTGGGCACCATGCAGCCTGCTCCCTGGCAGTGATGGCACATTCAGTTTGGAAAGCATAGCATTTCTAAGGAACCAGCACTTCTTCAGCCAGAAGCAGACAGAGAAGATGCTGGGGTGGATCAAAGAGGCAAAGCTAATTGGATCAGAGATTGCGCAGAATGCTATGCACTGCGCAGGTTGTGGATGGAAGCGGGATGCTTGTGGACTCCGACTCCAAGACTTTAGAGGCCAAGGCCTTTTCTAGCCGTGAAGGATGCTGAGCTTTTGCCACTTTTCAGGTTGAGAACGAGAAGCTTAGAAAGAAGCTGGCAAAGTATGAGGCCCTCAAGACTTGCAGTTTATGCTCAGCTCCTGGGAGTATCCAAACAGCCAGATGATAGAACGCTCTCTCAGTGCACTGTGGAGCAGCCGATAAAGCACGATTGAATTATGACAAATTCCGGCACAGTGAGTTCAGAGTCACCTTGAAGAGTTTCTTAGCCTCGAGGAGGCAAGAAAAAAGGTTTCACGATTTGCTGCAGATTGCACTGCACCAATTCATCATTGAATCATGCGCCGCATCGTGGTGCATGTTACTTTCCTAGTTCTTGGACGTGGTAACAAGTAACAAGTCAAGGCTTCAGGCCACTTCAGGCTTCACGAACGCCCTGCTGTGCTAAACCAGCCGGCCTGGGCCGGCTTTAGGCTTTGAGTCTCCGCGTTGGGCCGGTTTCGCGCAACGAGGCAGACTAAATGGAGACAGAGGTAAGTCAAGAAGTTGGTCTTTGCGTGTGTGCATGCCCAAGCAGATCAACCAAGAGTGATTGAGATTGTTGAGAATGGAACTATGTCGTCTGGCTGCAAGATGTTTTGCGTGCAATACCACGGCTGAGCAACGAACAAGTTCAACAAATGATCTGACAAGCTCAGCAACAGCTACAGCAACAAGTGAGGCAAGATCGAATAGATTTCTCAATTTATATGTAGCTGCCTTGACCAAGACCACGTGGATGACAGCAACTTACGGATGTTGAAATGCAAGCTACTTTTCAGCGCCACGCAAGTAGAGCCATAGTCTGGAGACTTAGCTGTGCAGCCATAGGCTTCTGTTTGGTCTTGAGACTTCGTGCAGCGCCGGACCAACCGCACAGGAAAACCTTCGAGCCACTTGCCGCTTTCCTTGTGCTTGCAGCTTCCAGTGTCATTGGCTGACCAGCGCCACCAACGAAGCGCCCCTCTAGCCCTCAACGACAGCGTGATCGGCAAGATAGCGACAGTGACTCCTTGATCAAAGCGTTGGAAGACCGCTATGAAGAGAAACTGGAAGAAGTTCATCCGAGTGAATTGCTGGGCTGGCTATTGCTGCGGCGGGCCGGGCTGAGTGCGCAGGGCCGCCTGAGTGTGCAGGCAGCAGCAGGCAATTCTCTTCGCCTCGAGAGTATCGAAATGGCCATGAGAGGCATGAAGAACTTCTTTCTCACGAGGTTTCGAGAGGCCAAGACGCCAACCATCGTCGTCGCACATATTGGGTAGAGGACCTGGGGCCGGGCCAATGGTCATTACTGTTGGCCAACGACGAGGACATGGCAGACATCATGGAAAGCGTGGGCTCCCGACAAATTGGTAGCGATGCCTCGTGAATGTGGCTCCTCAGGATGACTACGAATCCTGGGAGACCCACCAAGTCTATGACACCTCCTATTGGGGTGTGGATGGTGAGTACGAGGACTGGGAAGATGATCCTTCGGCCTTTCTGACTTCCGAGGAGCTTCAGCAAGTGGAAGAAGCCAACCAGGTGGCTGACAACAAGCTTCGATCCTTCGTGTATGCAAGCAAGGCCGAGGCGTCTGAGCAGAGGGTTCTACCCGTTCTTTCCTGGCTCCACAGGTTTCTGAAGAGAAAAGCGAAGGAAAAGGTGGCGGCTACTTTCAGGGCAGAAGCTACCCCCTCGACAGCTTCGAGCAGTTTGAGCATGCCCATACTGATGAGCGAGTCCTCTTCTGCCTTTGCTGTTGCCCCTGGCCAACCTGGCTACAGTGGCTGCTGCGGTGACCGAGGCCATTAGTTTCGAGATTGCCCCAAACGTTCCAGCAAGGGTGGTTCCAACACCTCTCGACAGGCGATGTTGATTGGCATGGACGCCTTCATGGTCCAGGACAGGAGGTCTGTGCAGTGAACCCCGATGAGCTGGGCCTTCCAGCGTCCGGTGAAAGACCACTGGCCACTCCTCTCCTCAAGATCGAGGATATGGTTCTTGCCCAGGAATCCCTTGCAGACCTGTGCCTTGATGGCTTTGCAGTCCTTGGACTCAGGGGCCACTGAAACTGTCAGTAGGCTTCCTGCGTTGGAGTCGTTAATGAGAGCCAGACATGTTGTGAGTGGCCAAAAAGGTGTAAGTTTGGAAATGGAGAGCACAATTTTTCTGCGTCACGCATCTTGTTACCTGTGACTTTGGGCCAGCGTCAAATTCCCGTGGGTGTCTTCACTTTGGACGTACCAGGTGTACCTCTGCTCACGGGTGTCAAGACCTTTCGGCGTCTACAAGCTGTGCTGGATTGCCATCATGATGCGTTGGTGCTAGGAGCAGTGGATCCAAACCGAGGTGTGAAACTTCGCGCAATCCTTCCGGGCACTTCTTTTAGATCTGAGACGAGATCTGTTGGTACGGTCTTTCAGCCTGTCACAACCCAGGAGTGGGATTGGCGCGCCGAGCAAAAGTGAGACCGTTCTCTTCAGCACGTCCGTAGGGAAGGTGCGCGAGAATGTTGATGTCGGAGACCAGACGCCCTCAGTTGCACTAGCTTCTGCACCTTCAGCGCCTGCAGTCAGTGATCCACTTCGTGTAGATACTGGAAATGTCTTGCGTGCCTACACTTCTGTTGGCGTTGTGGATGCCGAGGTGCTGGAAGAGCCGGAGCTGCCTGCGAAGAACCTCACCGCGGAAGAAAAGGAGGATATCCTGGCTGTGTGCAAAACCCTGAGACTCTGCTTGCCGAGGATTTTCTTCAAGGCCAGCTTCCTGAAGAGGTGTGGGCAATAGAGATTTGCTGCTCGAAGCCATCCAACTTGAGCCACCTTTTGTCCAAGGCTGGCAAAGAAGTCAAGCCCCTCTCTGCTTCTGACGGCTTCGACCTTGGGGCCATCACCAAGAGATTTGAGAGCGCCCAGAATAGTCTGGCCAAGGACCGAGCCGCTTGGTTGATTTGTCATGTTCCCAAGACACTCTTCAAGGGACCCCCTTCCGCAAGGCTTGGAAGATCGAATGGAGTCTGGGACTTGGCGGAAGCCCCAGAAGGTGATTCGACATCTCCTGGAAATCTCGGATTCATGTGCTGTGCTGTGGTAAGGTGTTGTGGTGTGAGCCTCCAGATTGCTCTCTTCGTCTTTCCTTTGCAAGATCTTTCTGGCTTGTGCGTCAACCCTACATGTGTGGCAAGGCAGTTCATTGTGGTGGCTGGTGCTTTCGCTCCAACGAAGGCGAGCTTCTGCGTGGATTACCCCACACCCATTCTTCCGAGCTAGATGCGAATGCTGTTATGGCCAAGCTTGGGGTGAAGGGAAGGATTCTGTGCACGCTGCGTGGGGCGGCCTTTGGTGCCGTGGACACCTCTAGCCTGGAGAAGCTCAATGCCAAGGACCTTGCTTGGTCCTCTTCCGGCCAAACCCGGGAAAATTGTATTGCGCCCAAGCCTCCTCCTGCAGGGAACACACATGCTCGGACGTCATGTTACCTCCAGAGTCCA